GCTGAGGCAGGAGCATTGTTCCAAGTTTGAGGCCAGCCTGGGCTACAAAGTGAGCTCAAGGCCAGCCTGAACTGCATAGCGAGACCTTGTCTCAAAGACAAAAAAAACAAAAAACAACAATAACAAAAAAAACCCCACAAAACCTACATGAAAACAGTAGTTTTTTTATTAAAAGAACTTTTTGTTTGTTTATTTTTTGAGACAGAGCCTTATGTATATAGTTCATCCTGGTCTTGAACTCACTTTGTAGCCAAGATGGCCTCACACTCTTGGTGATCCTCCTGTATCAGCCTCTAAGTGTGCTGTGATCACAGGCATGTGCTACCACAACCAGTCAAAACTTTATTTAGTGCTTGCTTTGGCAGCACATATACTAAAATTGGAACGATACAGAGAAGATTAGCATGGCCCCTGCGCAAGGATGACATGCAAATTCGTGAAAACTTTATTTATAATTAGAGGTGAAAGGAAAAATAAGAGTAAGATATCTGAGCTGGGTGTGGAGGCACATACCTGTAATTCCAGCATTCTGGGAGGCTGAGGCAGGAGAATCACAAATTCAAGCCCAGCCTGGGTCACAACTTGGTAGCTTAGTGAGATCCTGTCTCAAAACCAAAAAACTGAAAATGGGCTGGGAATATAGCTCAGTGCAAAGGCCCTGGGTTCAATCCCTAGTCAGCGGGGCGGGACAACAAGATTTGTGATTTGTAACTGTTTTCTTGTTTTTGTTTTTGTACAGTTCAGGCTGACTTGAGCTCACTCTGTTGCCCAGGCTGGCCTCAAACTCCCAACGATCCTCCTACCTCAGCCTCCCGAGAGCTGGGATTACAGGTATGTGCCACCACGCCTGACTATAATTGTTTTCTGTATCTCAGGAAAAGTACAATAAATTAAAATATGAGGAGTAGGAAAATTTTTATAGCCAGTATGTATAGGAAAGAATTTAACTATATAGAACTAAAATATATTGCATGTACTTAAATATTTACTTAGTAAGGAGCTAATACAGGGCTGAGGATGGAGCTCAGTGGTACACTGCTTGCTTAGAATGTGCAAGGCTAGGGCCAGGGATGTAGCTCAGTAGCTTGCCTGACCAGCAAGCTCGAGGTCGTGAGTTCGATTCCCGGTACCAAAAAATAAAACAAAATAAAACAAAAACCCTAATAGAATGCACAAGGCTGGGTTCAATCCACAGGACTACAAAAAAAGTGTAAGCAACAGAAGAAACTAAAAACTGACTGAACTTCATGAACACTAAAAACCTTCATACTGCAAAAAATGCCATGAATGAAGTTAAAAGCCAACCAAGTAATGGAGAATATTTGCAACTCTCATATCTGAGAATTATACTCAAAATACACAAAGAACTCTTACAACTGAAAAATAAGATAAATAAGCCAATTTTATTGTATTTTACTGAAACAGGGTCTCTCTTAATCGTGTAGTCCAGGCTGGCTTTGAAGTCATGGCAATCCACCTACCTCAGCCTCCTGAGGGCTACAATTGCAGGCGTGAGCCGCCACAGCTGACAACAACCCAACTTAAAAATGGGCAAAGGCTCTGAACAGATGTTTCTCCAGCAACGACATATAACTGGCCACTAAACACTACACCCAAAGACGCGCAGCCTCATCGGTCATCAGAGAAGTGCAGATCAAGGCCCCTGTGAGGTAGCACTGCACACTCAACAGCATGGCTAAAAAAACAGGCAACAGCAAGAGTCACGGAGGACAGAGCACCCACTGCTGCGAGGGTGTGAAATGTGGCAGCCTCTGTGGAAAACAGCCTGGCAGTTCCTCAAAGGGTTAAACAGGAAGTTACTCGATGGTCTGTGATTCCCCTGCCAGGACGCACCCAGAAGTGGCAACTACAGGTCCACACAGAAACCCGAACGGAAACATTCACGGCAGGGTGACTCACAACGCCTGCGCGTGGAAACAGCTCCAATGCCCCCTAACCGGAGAATGCATAAACAAAATGTGGCAATCACAGAATGGAATGCTTATTATTTGGCTATGGGAATGCCGTAATGACTCGATACCTGCTATCATATTAATGAACCTTGCAAACATCATGCCAATGACATTTCCAAGTCTGTAAAGCCAAAGCCCGGGTTCTGAACTAGGGCTTTCACTAAATTTCAGTCATTCCATAACACAACCTAAAATCAGTCTCAATCTCTCTTTCCCTGTCTGTCCTGGGGACTGAACCCACGGCTTTTCCGCAGAGCTACGTCCCTAGCCCTGTATTTATTTATTTTTATTCTGAGATAGGGTCTGGCTAAATTGCCCCAGCTGAGCTCAACTTGTGATCCTCCTCTGCCTCAGGCTCCCAGAGTGCTGGGATTGCAGGCCTGTACCTTCATGCCCAGCTTTTAAATCTTTTTTAAAAAGTAGATTAAAAAAGAAGAAAGAAAATGAGGAGAGTAGCAAAGGATAGGAGAGACGAAAGCCCCTGGCGGGGTATCTACTAGAAACGTCCAGGGTGGTTCCAGAGAGCTTTTCTGACTTGAGGCTCTGCTAGCTGAGGCTCTGGTGGAGTATCACACCAGCCTTGAAGGAAAGGAGCCAACGAAATTAAGAAAGAAACCGTAGAAGGAGTAAGTGAGACACCGAGAGAAAGTCGTGCCAGGAGTCAAGACAAGAATTCTAACAGCAAACACTCGCCAGGTCCACTGGAGTGAAAACTACTGCCCCTTGGAAGGACGCAGAGAACAGCCCTGCAGGGGCGCAAGTGGCAGGGAGTGAGTGGAGAGTGCTTTCAGGAGGCTAGGGTTCGGCTGGCTGTAATTATTTTGTTTTTAAAGTCTTAAGACCTTGAGCCCAGGGAAGAAGCCAGAGAAAGGAGAGCAACACAGGACTAGAGGGAAGCTGCCCGATATCCAGGGACAGGAAGAAGTTAGATTGAGAAGCTAGACTGGAAGTGCCTGTCTCAGATAGACCACACTGAAATCAAAATTCACGGCAGGATGCAAAACAGGAAAGCCTGATTTACCTCGTCCGGCGAGAAGAGTTCTACATAACCAAATTTACCAGGCACAATACCTCTGTAAAAATTAACTGTTAAAAAAAAATTGACTGTTAACTATTTTCTTTAAGAGTGGGCTTCCTTGGATGATTTAAGATCACTGCAACGATCTTATTGTACTAGGAAATAACAGTTAAGGCTGCACGTTAATCTTTCAAATCTTTGAAGCCATGTGTGGTGGCACAGGTTTGGGATTCCAGCCTTTGGGAGGCTGAGGCAGGAGGATTGCTGCAATTGTGAAGCCAGCCTGGGCTACAAAGTGAGGTCAAGGTCAGTCTGAGCTACACAGTGAGACCTTGTACCAAAAAAACCAGGGCTGCGCATGGTGGCACACACCTGTAATCCCAGCACTCAGGAGGCTGAGGCAGGAGGACTGTTGCGAGTTCGAGGCCAGCGGGGGCTACAAAGTGAGCTCAAGACCAGCCTGAACTGCATAGAGAGACCTTGTCTCAAAAAGAAAAAAGAAAAAGAAAAAGAAAACCAAACAAAAACAACAACAAAATAAATCAAATCTAAGAGTTGGGGATGTAGTCAGCGGCATACCACTGAGTAAGCAAGAAGCCTGAGTTCGATTTCCCGTACCCAAACAAAAAAAAAACACAAATCTTCTTTGAATGTCTTACCACCGTCAGTTGCCAGCTTCTAGTTAATTTCCTCTAATAACCTTTTTCATTTGTGACTCCAATAAAATCTAGTTTAAAAACTACACAACCATTAAGTGATAACCCTAAAAATAAGGGACAGGCTCTGAATGAAAAATACAGAAATATAAAGTTCATGGCTTTATGACACTTAGCACTGGGGAGAGTTACTACCCAGTGCTAAGAAAACTGTTCCACTTTTCAATTTGAGACTAGAGCTCAGAATTAAGGATTTCAGAAGACTGACCTCTGACTACACTCACTCTTGTCTTATTGTGCTTTTGTTTTGCTTTTTTGAGACAGGGTCTCACTATGTAATTCTGGCTGGCCTTGAGCTCAAACTAGCCTGGAACTTGTGGTCATCCTTCTGCCTCAGCCTCCTGAGTGCTGGGATTACACATGTGTACCATCATGCCCGACTTACTGTGCTTTCTTAAATGATAGAAAAATATCCATCAAAGTAACCGGTAATATTTTTTTTGACAGGGTCTCACAATGGAATCCAGGCTGGCCTCAAATGCACAGTGATCCTCCTGCCCCAGCCTCCCGAGTGCTAGGATTACAGGGTACTAGGATTACAAGCATGTGCCACCATGGCCTTTGGGTTCTTTTTTTAAGACAGGGTCTCACTTTGTAGTGCAGACTGGCCTTGAATTCACTAAATAGCCCAAGGTGGCCTCGAACTCACAGAGATCCTCCTGCCTCAGGCTCCTATCACAAGCCTGTACCACCACTCCCGCCTCCTTTTTTTTAAGTTTTTCGTTCATATCGGTGACAATGAACAACGGTAGAGTTTCTCATCAAAACAGAGTACTTAGGGGCTAAGGATTTAGCTCAGCGGCACAGCGCCTGCCTGGCAAGCATGCAGCTGTGAGTTCGATTCCCGGTACCGGAAAAAAAAAAACTAAAAAAACAAAAACAAAAACAAAACAGACTATTTAAAGTGGCCTGATCTGCTGTACCTTTGCCCTTGTATTCCAACTGAGTTAACAGCTCCTGCCCTGGCGGTCGGTCAGGGAGGCAGGCCTGTCAACAAATTGCGACACAGGCAAAACCAGAACTGAGTAGAGAGTTAAATGGCTCGCGTTGAAGAAGCGCACGCAGGGGTACCTTTCTGCATTCCTCAGAAGGTGTTCGATGGAAACCTGTTGCATGAACCGAGTCTTGCTAATGAAAGGCGAGGGAGGTCCCAGGACCTAAGGGGAGCAATCCACCGCGGCTTCCACGAGCAATCCACCCCACCTTCCGACACGAGCAATCCACCCCACCTTCCGACAACCGCCACACACACCGGCCTCCGTGCCCCGGCACGCTCCCCGGACAGCACCTCACCTGTACTGCCAGCCCTTGGCGCTGCCTCCTCGGCCGCCGCCCGCGCCGCTGCCGATCGCGCCCGCGCCGCTGCTCTTGCCGCTCGGGGTGCTCGCGGCGGCCAGCGCCTCCAGCCTCCCTTCGCACTCCGAGACTCTCATCGTGGACACTGGGTCGCTGCCCTGCATCCTAGCTCCCGGGTCCACGGCCCTTCCCGCGCGGCTCAAGTCAACTCCGCGCAGGAGTTTTGTAGGCGCTTCCTTCTTTCTTCTGAGACTCTGCTGTGATCCCAGTCGCTAAATGCGACGGCGACACGAGAAGGGACGGCCACCGGCCCGGGAACGGAAGACACGCATCCCCACTGCGTTAAACTTTCGGGACGGCAGGGGCAGCGGGGCAGAGAGTCCGCTCCAGCCACACGGGGTTCTCTCCCTCCTGGCGAAAGCGAGGGGGCAAGTGTCACCCAGCGAGAGGGCTCGGGGACAGAGGAGACGCTGACGGCGTGCGGGGGAGACGCGGGCTCTGCGGGCGCGAGTGGGCGACGGGCGGGCGGGCCCCGCGGCCTGGCCTCAGCGGA